GGAGCCGCGGCAGCAAGCAGCAGTTCATCGTCACCGGACATTTCTGATGTCCCTCTCTCATCAAGAGGCTTTATGTAAGCAGTAGATTGCTAGATGCTGACCATTGCATCAATTTGCCTTTCCCCAAGTTGAATTGCTGCTTTGCCCGTGTTGCTCCGCCACAAGTGCAGCTCCCGCAGCTGTTTCGGGTGTCAAGTACGGCAACTCACAAGTCTGCAAATCGAAAGTTATGCTATTGGTAAGTCATTTTCTCATTGCATTTCGACTATGGAAATATATAGATGAATATGTTTATTATATAATCCCAATTAATTGAGTTCTGCATATCAAATGAAATGGATAGATTTTGTACATTAGTGGAATAGAAGGGAAATATCACAATATATAAAATTGTAATAAATGAGATATTAAGGATTTTCTAATAAATGAAATGTAAGGCTTCCATGATATGCTACACATTAAATGTAGGGAATCATAGTATTGTGGCTTCAATCTATATATAGTACGTTTCAGGATGCCTGATAGGAATATCACCAAAGTCAGTCAAAAACAATATTCTACACACACAATGGGTTTTGTTGCTGTTGCCATCATACTATGTTTTTCATATGCATCTTGTTATGCCAATCTGGTACGATCAGAAGATGCCCATGTCAATCCAGAAATGAACGGAATGGTAACAATACAACCTCATGTCACTTGATTAATATTGAATTGTTCCAATTTTCTGCATTTTCTCTTCCGTTCATTATCATCATGAATGTTTTTTATCAGTCCTCTCTCCCTGTATTTTGAAAAGAAAAGGAACCTATATTTGGATGTGATGCGTGTAAAAGAGATCAACACAGATATATTTGTTTTACTGTACCAATTTACCTTAAATCCTTCTAATATATATTTGAGTTACTTATTTGTTGATGAGGACATAGGCTGATATCAATAAAGTTTCTATTATCTAAAATCATGGGCTGAGGTAGTACCCCATCACAAGTTATGTTGTTAAAAAATCTTGACAAATATAATGTGGGTTCATTAATTGTACTAAATTTATTTGATTCTATGTGTTCATAAAATTCATATAATAATATTTGTAGTACTTTTTTTTGGATGTATATGAGAAGACTCGAAGACCTACAGGCCTTTTCTTTTCTAGGAGGCATAAAGTACGAACTGATGAGGATGATAGCCGTGCTTCTCATGTAAGTTATCTACCTCCCTCCGTCTCTCTCATACACACAAAATAAACAATCATTCAAGAATTCAAGAAGAAATACTTAAGGCTCGTTTGGCTGGGATTGTTGCTGCAGCAGCTGCGTTGTACAGCCACTGTCAAGCTCAGCCGAAAAGCCATTACCTCAGATGCTAACCAAAGAAGTGCAAAATACGTGCCATTTTGCTTCAAAGCTGCAAGTCAAGATGAGGAATTTAAGACTGACTGGTTCCCTATTTTACAATAAATAGATATTTCAAGAATCTCCAGTTACATATTTGATCATTAATTTCCAATTCTTCGAACACAAATGTGGGTCTTGATTATTTTCTATGTTCTTCAATACATTTTTTTCAACGTTGCAAATTTTTCTCCACAAATATTTTAAAAGCAGCAACCAGTAAATTACCTTGGGAATCTGAAAGCTTACCATGTGCAGATGTGCTTTGAACCTACAGTTTGATACAAAGCACACAGAAATCTACACTTGCTTAATAATTGACTCTCAGGAAGCCACATATTGGACGCAAGGGATACATTGGAGGGTAGATAATTAAATAATAGATTATGTTTCATTAGCTTACACATAGAAACATATTTGCATAACAGAACAAGTGAAATCAATTTTGACAGCGCATTGGTCTCGGAGATCTTAACCACCAATCAAACCTTAACCTCATAAGTCATAAGTCCCAGGCCCTGCCAAAGTCTCTCCTGCAAAAGTCTCTCCTGCAATTGCTGTGATGGAATCACTACCCTGCCACTGTTCCATGATCTTGGGATATTTTGTTCCTTGTCTAATGTTTGAAACTGGGTTGAGTTCATTACCATCACCTGATATCCTTGCTCATGCCTATGTATCATCATGATTTCGTTCATTCGGTTTCTTTACTTCTGGAAATCTTGCTTGGCATGTCCCTTGTCCTTTACATGTAGCATCAACATTTCTCATGTTCCTTAATTGTTTTTGATCTAGAATGTGTGGCCTTCAAGATCTCTCCTTTTCCTTGCTTCGTTCCATTGATAACCTTTGACATAGAGTGGTCTCTATTTCTATAAACATCCTGCACTATTAGTTATAAGTCTGTTAAAAATATATTGCCACTGGCCTGAAAATGATCTTTGCTATTGGTTATTAATGGTGCTATTCAATTTGACCATTACAAATTGCGCATGTAAGACTTTTTTTATTTGGAGAACACACGTACGGAGCACTACACGTGCAACACCACACTTTCGCACCTGCGAATACGCGCATTTAAGCCTTTTAATGTGTTGTTTTTATCAACAGGTTGCTATGTATCACACACCAAGGGGCTGGTACTTTAGTACTCGAGCTAAAATAGGTATATGGGGATCACCCAACCAAGGACGCTTTCAAGAGTCTGGTGCATCCATATTAGTAACCAGCAATGAATTAGAGGGCCTCAATGCACTTGAAGCTGGATTTCACGTACGTAAAAAGAAAAAAGAATACAAAACATGGCATCCATGCATATATGCAAATTCAATGGCTATAGAAGGAATAATCATTTTTCTGATATGGTTTTCGTTAATTATGTAGGTCTATCCTGATTTGTATAAGGACAATAATGTCCATTTCTTTACCCACTGGACAGTAAGTTCAGCCAGCTATTATTTGGAGTTTCATTTGACCTTGTACCTCTTCATCATCCGCTGTAAAAACCAAATCAATTTCCTTTTTCTTTTATCTTTTCTCAGAAGGATACCGACAGGTCCACTGGATGCTACAATATAAAATGCGGAGGGTTTGTGCCAGCAGAAGGAGCCGAACTTACGCCAGGGCAGGCGGTTGCTCCTGCATCAACTTACGATGGAGAGGATCATTACATCTCCATTAGCCTACATACGGTGCGTGCCCCTTAACTACTGTGGACAAAAACTTCATGTACAATGGAGCCGTGTGTTTCTTTTTGTTTTTTGACAAAGGAATTGGTATGAGGGAACTTGACATTTTCTTAAGTTTTTTTTCCTTATACGAATAAAATAGGACCTCTTTGGCAAATGTTCCAACCAAAAAAAATCATTTTAAAACTAATAACTACCATTGATGTAACTAAGATATACTCTCTCCATTTTTTTCAACTAGAAAAAGGTCTGTGCGTTGCAACGGGTGAAAACTATTTTAATCTTATTATTGTTATATGGTTTAGTTAAGATAAAATTCACTGTTAGAATTTGTTTGGATATATATTTTTTTAGAAAATCATGGGCTGCAATTAGGAGACCGTTCATCTAAAGTTTGCACGTGAGTTTTCTTATACGACTCCTTCTATATTTACAAAAGCGAACGAACTTAAAAACCGATTCATACACGAATAACGTACCAAAGTACCGACAAAAACATCTTTAATATTTATAATAATAGAGATAGACGGCGACATTGACCTTTTAGACTGACTATTCACCTTATTTAAAAAATTATATAATTATCATCTATTTTATTATGACTTTTTATCATTCATCATGACTTATATATATGTAAATATTTGCACAAAATTTTTAAATAAGATAAATGGTTAAACGTATCTCCAAAAGTTAATGGCATCATGTTTTTAAAAATAAAGTAGAGTGAGTACTTAACTCCATATTCAATCAACAAGATGTAAATTACAAGAATGCTGAAATGCTTCAACTACAATTAATTTTGCAGGATCCAAACTCAGGAGATTGGGTATTGTTCAGGGACGATCTGGAGAAGCCGTTATTTCTAGGCCATTTTCCAAAGGAGCTCTGCCCCAAGCTGAACGGCGGAGCGCCTCGGATGGCATGGACCGGGTTCGTGAGCTACCCGAAGAACGAACCGAGCCCTGCGATGGGCAGCGGCCATTTCCCCCTGGAAGGCGAGAGAAAAGCCGCCTAAATCAAGAACATCAAGTTATTCGACTCCAAGGCGCGTGCCCATGACCCTTACATGGAAGATCTACTCCCGGTCCTTGACAGGCCGGACTGCTACCATCTCAGTATAGTTGATTTTGTTGTCAAGGATCGCGTCTATTTTTATTATGGTGGTCCAAGCGGCTGCATTGGTTGATACTATATCACACAAGTTCGTCATAAGTTGTTCTCCCAAAACTGATGAATAAAATTTACATGATTTCAATTTACCCCCAACCAGATATGAAAAGCTGAAATTAAATTGATCTGGGTTGAATTTGCTTAGTACATGGAAATGTTCTTTTATCATATATCCATAGAAGTCATAAAAAATAACTATATTGAAATATATTTAGGAGAAATAAACTGATATTTATTTTATGCGTTTAATTTTAATAGCACTCCCTCTGTCCGACATGGTTAAACTTGGCACTCACTTTAAAGCAACACGACCATAACTATAGGAAACTAAATTCAAATATCAATCTAATAATATATTTTTGTCAAATAAAATTTAGTTTATATTTAGACTAATTGTTTAGGAAATATTTCAGGAGTTATCACATATTTGACTACATCTGTACTCTGTATCTAATTAGAACAGAGTAACTCAAGGTAAAAAAAAAAAAAACAGACGCTTAACGCACAGGATCCGCAGACACGAATAGGCTACGATACGACGCGTACGACGTGCTCCTACCGTCTTTCGTACTCGAATCCGATTCAGGAGAGGGCTTAAGCTGCGCGTTCTACTTAATCAAATATTCAAATCCCATTCGGAAACGGAGGACACACCAACGCTTCGCGCCAATACATAGCAAGGGCGCGTGCAATGAGATCGAGATCGAGAGAAATTGAATCACCTAGCTGAGAGCGTGCCAAGGCAGGAGCAATGGCGGCGCGCGAGCCCGTGTTCGCGGGCACCAACGACACCATGGAGCTGTCCAGCGACGCCGCCCCGTCCCCGGCCAATCTCTCGAGGACGGCCACGGCGATCTGCTCGACGCCGGCGTTCGCCAGGGAGATGGTCGCCGGTGGCGTCGCGGGCGTGGTGGCGAAGACGGCCGTGGCACCGCTCGAACGGGTGAACCTCATGAGGCAGGTCGGCGCGGCGCCGCGGGGCGCCGGCGCCGTGCAGATGCTGCGCGAGATCGGCCGCGGCGAGGGCGTCGCGGGGCTCTTCCGCGGCAACGGCGCCAACGCGCTCCGCGTGTTCCACACCAAGGCGCTCCACTTCATGGCGTACGAGCGGTACAAGCGGTTCCTCCTCGGCGCCGCCCCCTCGCTCGGCGACGGACCGGTGGTGGACCTCCTCGCCGGGTCGGCGGCGGGCGGCACCGCGGTGCTCGCCACCTACCCGCTCGACCTCGCGCGCACCAGGCTCGCCTGCGCCGCCGCGCCGCCCGGCGCCGCGGCGGCGGGCATGTCCGGCGTGCTCCGGAGCGCGTACAGGGAGGGCGGCGGCGTGCGCGGGGTGTACCGCGGCCTGTGCCCGTCGCTGGCGCGCGTGCTCCCGATGTCGGGCCTCAACTTCTGCGTGTACGAGGCGCTCAAGGCGCAGATCCCCCGCGAGGAGGAGGAGCACGGGGCGCGCGGCTGGCGCCGGGCGGCGAAGGTGGCGTGCGGCGTGGCGGCGGGGTTGGTGGCGAGCACGGCGACGTACCCGCTCGACGTGGTGCGGCGGCAGATACAGCTGGGCGGCGGCGGCGGCGGCACGCTGCAGGCATTCCGCGCCATCGTGCGGGCGCAGGGCGCGCGGCAGCTGTACGCCGGCCTCGGGATCACGTACGTCAAGAAGGTGCCGTCGACGGCCGTCGGGCTGGTGGCCTACGACTACATGAAGTCGCTGCTCATGTTGCCGGCGAGTGGTCCCAAGGCCAATGGTAGTAAGTAGAAACTTAGGAAGTAGTAGCAGCCCTTGGACTGACCATGGCAAAGCAGACCGGAAGCTGAGGATTCGTTTGTTTATTGTGTGAATACATGGTCACTGTTCCGATGTTTTTCTTTTTCAATACGCTCTGAGCCCCATCGGTTGGCCTCATTGCAAGATTACTAGAGCTCAAATGTAAATATAAAAATTACAGGGACTTAACTGCAAAAGTAAAAACCCTAAAATTTAAATTATATAAAACACTCGACACCGAATTTTTTTTTCCATCAAGGTGTAGGTCACGGTATGGGGAAAACAAGGAGAGGTGGAGTGGGATGCGGCTAGGGAGAGGTGGAGTGGAAGGCGGTTCGAGTTCGGATTTGCTGCACGGGGTCTCTCAAAAGGAAACTGATTTTTAACCAATTCAATCAGTACAGAAACCAATCTAATCTAATCTATAAAACACTCGCACCTTCTTTCTCCCTCTTTCAAACAGGACACCTATGTAATCCATAAAACACTGGAGAATGCTACGCGTTGGGCGCCCGACAACAGAAGGAAAAATCGGACGCCTCGGACGCCCACGCCTCTGCTGCTCCTACTTAATTTAAGTAGTTTTAAAACGATTTTTCTCTTAAACTAATTATCCAATCTATGATCCGATCACACCGTTGTATTCGTTGTAATTAAATCTTTACAACAAGACCACACATGATTATATTTCGATAAAAAATATTTTAGCTTTTCTATTGATATTTTTTTAATATTGCATATGATCTCTTTTGATGTTTCAACCAGTAGTTTTATGATGTTTCAGTTAGTGTACTTGCGATGTTTCACTATATACGGATGATATGACCATGGCTACTACGGATACATCCGTTGCTCACATCATGGATGAACAACAAGATATCAAGTTCAAGTCCTCCAAGTGCTGGAATCCGATTCGGCCACCTACTACACGGCTGACTTCAAACGGCCGCCGAATTTCCATACGACCTCCGTTTTCTGCCCGTGATTACTTGATGGAAAGCTCTCGGAGTCCTCTTTCCAATGCATCAAGCCTCATTGCCAAATTCCATCTCAGTCGGCAGCAACTAAAGAAACAAGGTGCTACGACACCTGTAATGGGCCTATGGGCTTGTAACTTAGTCTGGGACCCCGGCCCAAGTGGGGCCCATGTGGGGTGCGCCCCAATCAGGTGGAGGACGAGCTAGGGTCCTCCTATCTCTATAAATAGCTTGGTACCCCTTCAGGGTATCGCGGGTTTTGATTATTTGTAAGTTTAGCCATTGCTACTTCGCTTGCAGCGCGCGTGTCGGCTAGACCGTTGTTCGGAACCCCACTTTATCGTGTATCAATTCATCTTTATGCGTCTTGTCTATCTAGCAATTCCGTTGCTTTCTATCTTGTTCTTGCTTGTTCTCGATTGCCTGCAGGAATAGGGTTGATCTGCATCGACAAGATCAACAACCCACGAAGAGGTGTATCGATCGCTAAGGCGCAACAGAACGTCTTGTACGGTTGTAGTCGGATCGTCAACGTTTCTCCCAAATCGTAGTTATCACAACTCACCGAAAGATCGGGCCAACAACAGCCTTGAGTGTCGAGAGGAACTCAGGGTTCATCAGGTGGTATCAGAGCTTTCGTTGCTCGGTGAGTTTTATCTACCCATAACCAGAAAATTGCCATAAAAAAATTGTCCTGTACCTAGCCATATTGTGCCATTGCATTGTTTTTATCAGTTTTTGCTTTGTTCAGTTTTGTGTTACATCGTCGAGTCGAGTTGCTGGTGTTAGTGTCTAGTTCGTTTAGAGTTTCGAGTTCTGGTCAAGTTTTGTACCACAGTCGTCGTCACCTCCGTGTATCTGTTGTCGTCGGGACCTACGAAAACGGAATCGGCTCGCTGCCACGATTCTATTTTTGTAGTTTTCAAAAGTTTTTACCGGTTGGTTTTGCAGTTGTTGAGTTGCATCTTGGGTTTGCTGACTGCCATGCTTCTGTTTTGGCCGTGCCTGTGTCGTGCACGAGAGGAGCAAGGTGAATTACCATATCTGATTTTGGAAGTAGTCAAGTTTGTTTTGGAAAGATATAGTAGATTGGATTGGTTAAAAATCAGTTTCCTTTTTATCCCATACACCAAATTCGGCTGCCATCCACTCCACCTCCTGGCCGACTCCCACTCGCCCCTTTGGCCGAGTCCGACTCCCTCCCTCCCTTTCACGGTTCCGAGTTGTGTCAAACACCTTGGTGAATTTTTATTTGGTGTCAGTTTCGAGATCTGTTTGGAAAAACGGAACCGGCATAAAATCAGCATTCCATTTTTGTATAATTTTAATTTTGGGTTTAGACTTTTACATTTGAGTCCCTGTAATTTTTTTTACGTTTGAGTCCCTGTAGCCTTACATTGAGGTCCTTGAATCTGTTTTGTAAAAAAAATCAAAAAAAAAGAAAGAAAAAAAAGGCAGAAAGGTGAAAAAAAAAAAGAAAAAAAAGCCGCACAAAAAAAAACAGAAAAGACAAGGAAAGAAAAAAAGAAAAGAAGAAAGAAGAACGAAAGAAAAGAGAAAATACTGTTATGTTTGAACTGAACTTCATATATCAGAGTTGTGCATGAGTTGTTCCTAGTGCTATCTTGTGATATCGTTTGTGTCTAGGCTCGCGTCTCTAGTACGTTCTAGCCTAGGACCAGCACGGTGCTTGACTTTGAACAATTATTCAACTTTGCATTCTCTGATTTGAGCATTTGTTATTCCTTTGCTACATATTAAAGCCTACCCAGAGCTCCACAGATTTGATTGCAGCCATACAGCAAGTGTTCGCCAAGGCATCGATACATCCAACCTCCATTGGGGTGCTTGGTTGAGTCGGTGTATGTCACCATTCCGCTTGCATTGGTAAGATCTTGTAAGAGCTTGGTTAAAAACTTAAATGTGTGTGATTTTTGAGCTGCCACTACCTAGTAGTTAATAGGAACGCACATATTTTTGTGTATGTTTCTTGTTTTCTACTAACAATGGCAGGGATACGTAAGATAATTGGGGATAGCTGTGCTCAACATCGACATCTTCATCGAGACATGAGGAGTGATCAACATAACCTTTATGAGGTAAGTGACGATGTTCTAGGTAAGATCAAATCTGCACTGCCTTATTTCGAGGGAAACTATGATCTTCATGCTTACATTAATTGGGAGCTAGCGGTTGATAGTGAATTTCAAAAGCATGTCTTGTCTGAGAAACAAAAGGTTATGTGTGCCTCTAGTGTTTTAGTTAAACATGCTTCTAATGATTGGAAACATCTTTGTAGGCATAACAAAATACCACAATCTTGGAAAGACCTGAAACGATATTTTAGAGATGTTTATGTTCCCATGTATTATGCTGACATTCTGCTCAACAAACTACAATGTTTAAAACAAGATACCAAAAGTGTAACTTCATACTATCGTGATATGCATGCTTGTTTATTACGTTGTGGTTTAGACAAATGCGAAGAAGCTAAAGAATTGAGGTTTTTACGTGGGCTTAACAAATAAATTCAGGACATGCTTGATTGTCAAAGATATACATCTCTTTCTCATTTGTTATAACTTGCTTGCAATGCTGAAAGTAAAATAGAGGAGGACATGAAGAAGCAACATGCTATGTTTTTGTCTTCTATTACTAACCATTTGCAGGAAGTGTATAATCATGAAAAGGAGGAGAGAAACATGAAAGAGCCGCCAGTCCCATTGATCACACTCAAAGTCGAGGCACCTCCATCATCTGAAGAGGGCATCAAAGGTAAATTTAATGGTGTTGAAATTAATAAAGGTGAGTGTGTTGTTAATGAATTGAATTTGTCCACTTTTCATGCTATATCAGAGCAACCATTAGTGGAACCAACTGCTGAGATTCCTTTGTCACAAGTTGATTTGTTTGCTGTTCCTTGTGATAAAGAAGAGTTATGTGATAATGCTTCACTAATATCCATGCCACAACTAGTGAATGAACATGCTATTTCTACTGTTAATTCATACTGCGCTGATTTTAAGCATGTTGTTCACATTGCTAATGAAGTAGAGGAGCGTGAATTGAGATCTTCTTTAAATACTTTGGGCTATGTTCAGTTTGATGATTTTTGTGAGCTCGATAATTTGAAGGAGAAATTATTTGCTAAGTTTGATTTGCGATATCCAACCAATGTTATATTTCATATCTTTGGCGAATATAATGATCTTGGAATATATTTTGTGCATAGAGTTTACATCTGTTCGGATTTAGAACCTCCTGTACATGTGGATAAAACTTGCAAGCTAGAGAGGCATGTAATTTCTAATCATATTACTTCCAGTTTGTCTCGTTTTGATTGGATGAAACAGGTTGTTTTAAATTGACCACGCGCCGAGCACCATATGGAAAAACCAAGGACGGTTTTCCGTGAAGAAGGGGAGGATGATGTGACCATGGCTACTACGGATACATCCGTTGCTCACATCATGGATGAACAACAAGATATCAAGTTCAAGTCCTCCAAGTGCTGGAATCCGATTCGGCCACCTACTACACTGCTTACTTCAAATGGCCGCCGAATCTCCATACGACCTCCGTTTTTGGCCCGTGAGTACTTGATGGAAAGCTCTCGGAGTCCTCTTTCCAATGCATCAAGCCTCATTGCCAAATTCCATCTCAGTCGGTAGCAACTAAAGAAACAAGGTGCTGCGATACCTGTAATGGGCCTATGGGCTTGTAACTTCGTCTGGGACCCCGGCCCAAGTGGGGCCCATGTTGGGTGCACCCCAATCAGGTCGAGGACGAGCTAGGGTCCTCCTATCTCTATAAATAGCTTGGTACCCCTTCAGGGTATCGCGGGTTTTGATTAATTGTAAGTTTAGCCATTGCTACTTCGCTTGCAGCGTGCGTGTCGGCTAGACCGTCCGTCTGCTTGCTCGGAACCCCACTTTATCGTGTATCAATTCATCTTTGTGCGTCTTGTCTATCTAGCAATTCAGTTGCTTTCTATTTTGTTCTTGCTTGTTCTCGATTGCCTACAGGAATAGTGTTGATCTGTATCGACAAGATTAACAACCCATGGAGAGGTGTATCGATCGCTAAGGCACAACAGAACGTCTTGTACGGTTGTAGTCGGATCGTCAACGTTTCTCCCAAATCGTAGTTATCACAACTCACCGAAAGATCGGGCCAACAACAGTCTTGAGTGTCGAGAGGAACTCAGAGTTCATCAACGGATCAAATGTTGCAGTGGATTTTGATATTATGGAACACGCCGTTGCAACAAATCACCTACATATTTTAGAAACCCCCTATTAAGGGAATTTGGTTTATTTTTTTTTTCCACCAAAAGTGTTTCACCTAGTGTACTAACAATGTTTAACTATGTAAAGATCTAATGTTGCAGTGAACTAAAATATTCCATTGCAACAAAAAAACCCACATATTTTGGAAACCCCTATTAAGGGAATTCGTTTCATTTCTTGTTCCACAAAAAAATATTTCACCTAGTGTACTTATAATATTTCACTATGTATGGATCAAATGTTGCAGTGAATTGAAATATTCTTTCGCTATTTGCTGAAATATTATTTTTATATAAGGTGAAACAACACCCGATTTAAACGAGTGAAACATTTTCGATCTATTTAGTGAAACAATTCCGATATACCTGGTGGAACATCGTGCAACATTTAAAAATAATTCAATAATAAGCTTAAAAAAATTTCGTCAGAATAATATCCATGTGTGGTCTTGTTTTGAAGATTTAATTGCAACGAATTTAATGGTACAACCGAATCATGATTTGGATAAGTAATTAAGAGAAAAATCAGTTTAAAGTATTTTTTGCACGTAAACCGGGCACTGACGTCATGCTGATGTCAGCGCCTGATTTTCCCCCAAACATCGGACGTCCGAGCCGGAGTTGCCTCCTAAAACACTCGCACCTTCCTTCTCCCTCCTTCAAAAAGGACACCTATGTGTAACCCATCAACTCCAAAACTGACCGACAGGAAGTTCTAAAAACAACGAAAATAAACCGACAGTGGCAGCGAGACGATTCCATTTTTTAGGTTTTGATGGTTTCGATGGCAACAATGACACAGCGGTGGCGACGACAGTGGTACTAAACGCGACCAGAACTCGAAACTCTAATAGACTACCGCTAAGACTAGCAACACGACGTGATGATGCAACACAAACAAAAGAAAAAACTGAAAAGAAGAACAATGCAATGGCACAAATATGTCTAGGTAAAAGGATACAATTTTTTATGGCTATTTTCTGGTTATAGGTAGATAAAAACTCACCAAGCAACGAAAGCTCTGATACCGCTTGATAAACCCTGAGTTTCACTCAACACTCACGGCGGTTGTTTACCCGATCTTTCAGTGAGTTTAGATAACTACGATTTGGGAGAAATGTTAACGACTAGACTACAACCGTACGAGACGTTGTTGTATTGCGCCTTAGCGATCGATACTGTACGAGACGTTGTTGTGTTGTGCCTTAGAGATCGATACACCTCTCCGTGGGTTGTTGATCTTGCCGGTACAGATCAACATTATTCCTGCAAGCAAATTGAAGAAACAAGCAAGAACAAGATAAAAGCAATCTGAATTGCAAATAGGAATTGAATACAAATGATAAGATGGGGTTCCGAAAACAAGCAGTCGGGCTGTTTAGCCGATACGCGCGCTGCAAGTACCAATGGCTAAACTTTAATCTAATAAAACCCAAGAAACCCTTAAGAGGTATCTAGCTATTTAAAGAGGTGGGAGGACGACCTATGGGTTCCTAGAGTCGTGGTCCACCTGGTTGGGACACACCCTCATGGGCCCCACTTGGGCCGGGTACCAAACGAAGTTACAACCCCAAAGGCCCATTATAGGTGGCGCAACACCTTGATTCTGTGATTGCGGCCAAATGAGATGGAATTCGGAGATGAGGGTGGATCCATTAGAAAGAAGACTTCGAGAGTTTTCCATCAAGTACTCACGGCATGAAAATGGAGCTCGTACGTAGATTTGGTGGCTGTTTGAAGTCAACAGTGAAGCAGGTGGCTGAATCGGATTCCAACGCTTGGAGAACTTGACCTTGATGACTTCTTGTTGATCCATGATATGAGTAATGGTTGTATCAGTGGTAGCCATGGTCACATCACCTTCACCATAGCTAAATCCACTCAATAGTCTACAGCAGTTGACTAGTGGAGTCAGGTTTCCTGCTGCAGAATTGCAACTGTGGGTGTGTTTAGTTCCTGAAAAAAGTTGGAAGTTTGGGGAAAGTTGAGAGTATGGAAAAAAAGTTAGAAGTTTATGTGTGTCGGAAAGTTTTGGATGTGATGTAATGTGATGGAAAGTTAAAAGTTTAGGGTAGTTGGGGGTGAACTAAACACGGCCTGTCTATCTAGATTCCTTTGAAATGCAGATTCTCAAAACTTTGTGGATGGCAAAATATAGAAAAACTATAGCAATCATCGTTTGGATGGAATGCATAAAAACACATAAAATAAAAAAGAGAGATAAAGACAAAGGTAGATTTAAGATTTTCATCAGGTTGAAACTCATGTTAGGATTACTCCAAAATTCTTATGCTTTTGGCTATCCCTATGAAATTTCCTAGGATTTGTGAAATCTCATTACTTTGTTCCAACTGGCCATGGAGGAAAATTTTCCATAGGATTAATTTATCTATAAAATTCCTTCAAAAAATCCTTTGACCAAAGGAGCCCCTACCGTTGCCCACCCTTTTTGCATTTCAGTTGTCAATTTCCGCCGTTTATGCTCTGCCAACTACTGTACCATTACATCATTTTGGCAGTATAAAATATAACTATGTTGGGATTGGTTTTCCAGCAATGAAAGAACAGATTTATTACTTGCACTCTTGGCTCTTTGTTTGGGCAGGTTCCCAACTCCTCTTCCTCGTCTTCTCCGCGCACGTTTTTTAAACTGCTAAATGGTGCGTTTTTTGAAAAAAAAAATTTCTATACAAAAAATTGCTTACAAAAATCAAATTAATCCATTTTTGAAAAAAAATTTAGTAAATACTTAATTAATCACGGGCTAATGGACTGCTCCGTTTTCCGTGCAGGGGAGTTGGGTTCCCAACCGCCTGAAATGAACAGAGCTTACAGTGGAGGAGAACTTTATCACTCCAATAAATGCATACATAAAAATTTGTAAACTTTAAACCCTCTTTGTTTAGACTTTTAAGTAGAAAAATCTAAGTCTAAACAAACAAATAGCTTTTTCGTTTGACTTTCTAAAGCCATAAACCATTCTTACACTATTAAGTCAAAAGCTATGTTAGAGAAGCTTTTTTGTTTGTGTAGTAGAGATATGACTCCACCATTAAACTTATAACTATAAGTCCACCGGCTTATAAATCTAACTTAAAAGCATAAGACAATAAGCCTAAGCATGAACAAAGAGGTCCTTCATGTTGTACATAACGAACACACCGAAAATACATATTGCATTATCTCCTGAACCTTTTGAGAGTAAATAAACAAGCATCTGTCATCTCTGTCCCCTTTTCTAAAATTTATGGATATCCTTAAACCTATTGATCAATATATAGTCTGTTGATCAATTACCACACTAATATGAATATCTAGATAACTTAAATGCCCAAACTACATGAGATTAGACAGTGCTTTGCCCATCTTGATAGATCCAATCCAGACAATGGATTTATATGAAAATTTTCTTACAGGTCTTGGCATGTTAGGAGGATTTTTAACATCAAGATCCAAGAGAGATGCTACAAACTCAGAGGGTATAGTTTGTTTACTCCATTGTAAATAGCCAAGCAGGGAATATTAGATGCAGTTACAACTTACAAGTAGTTTACTGAGCACTGAAATCATGTAACTACCAAAATAAGAATGATTTCAAACTCTATATTTGCATTTCCATAACATACAACCAACATTGCTGGATTTGACTCTTCACAGAATTTCCTTTCTTACTGCACAAACAACTACAGGTTATTCTGACAGCACATCTGCTATCCAAATGTGTAAAAATCCAATCATTTATAACAAATAATGATCCTCTAAAGAACAAAATTACATATGCTGGAAATACAATTTTTGCTTTCCTTCATAAACCTTGTTTTGGTACCTCTTTTAGAAAAAATCTTAAACCTATTGATCTGCACTGTCATACTAATGCGCCCCTCAAACAGTTAAAAGATGATTCAAATGGATTGGCAGAAATTAAACATAACACCTCCATCAGCTATCCCCATTGATACCTTTGTCCAAAAATATAGGGCATATTTCCATGACAAGGTCTTCGAAAATTGATTTGACCATCAATTTCACACATGATTGTTTATAGCCACAAAACCAAACTCATATGAAAGTATTTTGAAATAGGAATCTAGAGTGGAATAATTTTTCATAAAGAAACATGCCTATAATATAGTATGATCATTCTGCATCCTGAACAACTAATTGACAGACCAAAAGTACATTTTATTATAATCCAAGAGATAGGACATTCACAGAGCTAAAATCACCTGATTGTTATGACAATCTACATCAGTAGTAATGATAAGGGTTTTGTTCCTGGAATTACAATACTGTGCATGTGTTCAAGAGTCAAGACAGAAAATTCAGCTATAACAAGCTACACCTAAATTGCATGACGTCTTCTACTCTTCTCACGAACCTAAACCACTTATGCCCATAAATAGTTCAACTGTACAAGCTCACAATGTTATTTGCCATCAGGAATGCATTTCGCATATTTCTTAGCAAATAGTGTCATGGACTAGTTCATGTAACCAGTATGTTCGCAGTTTCAATCATTCATATTTCAAGAATCCTACAACAATTTGTTTTCAGCTCCATTGCATGCCTTGATTTCAGAAAGAAAAGAAAGCATTCAATGAAATTGAACATAATTAAAGTCAAGGGGAAGGCAGTGCCTTTGTTGCACGGTGAAGCGCAGCATAATCCTCTCCAGCTACTTATACACGGGGACTCGACTTTCTGCCACAGAAGAATAAGCTTCCAGTACCTCAGGAATTTCATCCTGGTAAGGGGTGACATACTTCTCCTTAAACTTCTTCTCCCCCAGTACCAGATGGGATGTCTTGATGTCCCTGTTGAATATGCCCCTCGATGCCAACAAGTTCAGCACCGTGCACCTTGGCAAGATTCGCTTATCGTAGCTGAAGGAGAGAACCATCGGGCTCCTTGCGACATAATCGGTGGTCCACCTGAGCTTCTTCGCGAGAAACTGCCAGATGAGCTTCACCTTGTCATTCGACACGGACATGCAGTACGGGTGCCTCACAAACGCCTCAATCACTTGCTCCTTTGTCCATCCCAAGCTCAAGAAATTGTCCATCCTGCCCTTCCATTTCCTTGGATGCAATCTGGCAAAGAGCCCGAAGGAATAGGGGAACATTCCAGAGGAAGGTCTGACCCCGAGCTCCTTCATGGCAGCCAAGCTCTCCTCGAAGCGGGAGGCCCTATGCATGAGTGCCCTGGGGTGCGTGGTGACCAGCTTGACGATGACATCGTTCGTGGCGCCGTAGTCCTGGAGGATCTTGATCTTGGGGAGGAGGATGCCACGAACGTCCCCGTGGATGAGATCCGTGGACTGCAAGACGGCAGCGGTCACGTTCTTGTCGCTGCCGAGGAGGTCTCTGAGGATGAGGTAGTTGGGGCGGATGCAGCGCTTGAGGCTGTAACGGAGGACGCGGTAGGGGTTGGCGAGGACGAGGCGGCGGATCTCGGCGTCGGTGAGGCCGAGCTCGCGGCGGAAGAACTCGATCTTGGGCATGAGGGTGGCGTCGGCCCGGTAAGAGAGCAAGGACGGGTTCGAGGTGACGAGGCGGGCGATGTCGGCGGCCGAGAAGCCGATGCCGCGGAAGAGGGCGACGATGGCGTGCGCCTTCTTGGTGGAGCGCAGGCGGACGCGCGCGGCGGCCGCGGCCGCCTCATCCTCCGAGAGGCCGCAGGTGTTGCGGAGGAAGTGGAGCGTGAGGGAGCAGGGCTCGCAGGCGGCGCCGGTGGCGGTGCCTGAGAGCGCGGCCGGACTGCCCAGGAGGTGCTTGATGAAATGCGTGAGAGGCGGAGACCAGGGCGAGGGGGAGGGGGGCGTCCGCGTGGGGAAGCAGCCGCCGCCAAAGCCGCAGAGGAGGGCGCGGACCTTGAGGTGGTGGTGGTAGCAGCGCAGAGACATTTGGGCGGCGCCGCGGCGGCGGCGGCGGCGGCGGCAGGTGGACTTGTGGCGGAAGAGAGGTTTTCAGGTACCGCGGCGCTGCAGGCCTGTAGTGCCGCAGTGCGCCAGTGCGTGTATATCTCTATCTGTATATGGGCCGGCAACTTCGGCCCACCGTGAAAAATTTTGTAGGCGTGTTTGTGTTCCGGAATAAGTTTACTTGTCATCCCTCAACTTTCCGTCGAGTTTGTTTGAAATCCCTAATCCCCAATACCAAAGATCTTTACCCCTAAACTATACAAAACCGTGCAATTTAGGTCCCATAGTAGTATAGATGCATAGTTTCACTAACGTGGCATCCTAGTCAGCAAAAAGAATTTTAAAAATGTGGGGCACACATGTCGTCGACTTTAGTAGACTATGCTTTCTCGAAGCCTCCACCGCTATAGATGGCCGACGAAGGCGAGCCTGTCCAGCCTCCGCGGCCGGAAGACGCGGGGCTCGAGGACTGCTTCCTCCCACCGGAGTCCATCACTGATGCTGTCTCGTCCCACCTCACCCATTTCTCCTTCTTCGATGACAACGACGACGATGACGAGGAGGATGGCGAAAACCTCCTCCCATTGTATGGAGGCGGCGCTGGAGGATGAATGGAAGACTCGGGCCCTACTTACAGGGGCCATCCCAGACGTCCTCGTTGGGTTGGGAGGCAACCGCAGGAGCAGCGTCGACGAGGTCGTGGTGGTCGGCGGTGGAGTAGGTGAGGGCGGAGATGAGGTGGTCGTCAGAGAGAGCAGGGAATGTTTCCGCGCATGAATTGCCTGCCATCGTGCTGCTGGCCTGCTGCCGTGATGCGCGGACGAAACCCCAGCTGCCGCCCCGCTCGATGAGAAACCGACCACCGTCCTCTCCCCCTCCTCGCTCGCCACCGCTTTCCTATGCGTCTTGTGCTCTGCTGTTCAGTCCCGAGCTGACCCGCCCGTGCGAGACGCTTCGCCACCCTCATGCGTTTCCAATTGACCAAACTCTCTCACCGCTGCTACCATGGCCGTCGTGAGTCCCCCACCTCCCGACTCCTGTTAGCCTTCCAGTTGGTCCTAGTACTTCTTGTAGACGCCCCTAGACCAGCGACGCGCTGCAAAACCCTCCAACCACCAGCGCCATTGCACGCCTCCTCCGCTCTCTTACCGCCGCCTTCGGTACCCGCACCCTCCCCTCGCCGACTGCCCCACCCTCCAGCCTCGCCAGGAAAAGAAAAAGAGTGAGAGGAGGTCGGCCACCTCTTCCCCTTCTCATGCAAACGTGACCGCGGCCAGCCTCCTCTCCCCCTTCTCCCGCCGGCTACCTCCCCCTTCTCTCCTAGGCCATGAAGCGCGGACGAAACCCCACATTTTTTCTTCTTATTTCACTTGCACATGGACCTCACATATTATTTTTATTTTTTCTTTGCTAACTAGGATGCCACGTCAGCGAAACCAGACATCCATACTGGTATGGGACCCAAATTGCACGGTTTTGTACAATTTAGGGATGAAGATTTCTAGTATTGGAGATAAGGGATATCAAACAAACTTGACGTAAAGTTGAGGGATGGAAAGTGAACTTATTCCTTGTGTTCCAGTAATTCCAGCCCATACAAAGAAAGGGAATAAGTCCACTTACCATCTCTCAATTTTATGTCAAGTTTGATAAATGTCCCTAAACTATAATACCATAAATCTTCACTATTCATCTTAACAAAACGGTGTACATTAGGTCCCATGATAGTATAGTCTCCTGTTTTCGCTTATGTGGCAGTTGACTGAACCCATATCATTGAGTCACCATTGACCGAACCCACATGTCATTAGATTCCCATTCTTCTTCCTCCAACCCTACTCTCTCCTCTACTCCCATCACTCTCCACCTCTCCCCGCTTTCCCATTTCTCTCCAAGGCGGCTGTCGATGGCCGGCACCGATGGGGGGAGTGGCGGCGGCAGCCTTGCTAGTGCACAGCACACGATGCAGGTTTCGGGACAACGGGACAGAGCATGAGGTGGCAGTGGTGTGCTTGGGGAGGAGTGGGGGTCGAGGGACGGGGAGGTGGCGGTGATTATTGACAATAAGAAGGTGGTGGAGGCACGGTGGGTGAAGTGAAACTTCCATGGGAACAGGATGGTGGTTCAAAGATGTCCCAGTGATCACTAGTACAAAAACATTTTTTCCAGACGAGCCAAAGCAGATTTTCACGTGCGGACCGAAGACCCGTCTGCACCTAAAGGTCTGCCAAAAACATCATTTTTCCTTGTGCGTGGCCCTCGTTGTTAATTTTGGTAATTAATGATAAGCGCTAATTGTGGACTAACTATTCTATTTGAGTGGTATACTTTGAGTTAGGACTACCAAGGATTAAAATTGATCGCACAAAGCAATGGAACAAAGATGGTAAATAAAATTATGTGGGGTTTATTTCTAGCTTTGTCGTACTATTAAGAGGGGTAATGACCTAGGTAAAGAGTTGATCAAAATGCCACATTAGGTTATTTGCATTATGTACTAGTGAACTAGTGGATAAAATTTAGAAAAGAAATAAAATTATGTGGGATTCACCTATTGGTTTATTTTCTAGCCAGTTGGGTAGCATAATGGCTAGATATTGGCTCTTCTAGTCGATGCTATCGCCGGGCAGCACAACGACTAGGGAGCTAGGAGGTTGGTGCAGGATGGCGGGGCGGAAAGATGCTACTCTATAGGCGTGAGTGGCAGCAGAGCGGCTAGGATCGCACAGAGCACAAAAAGCTAGTGTGCAGCGTGCTATGGAGGTCTAGGGGAAGAGCGAAGCTTTGACCACTATATGGGTCAAGGTGTGAGGTGCGAGAAGCAACACTTCGGCCTTAGGAGCGTTATGCCAGGCTGTACTGTTATGCCAGGCTCTACAGTCCTTAGTTCGACGTCGAGGCATTAACCATGAAAGTCCCCATGGAGGACCAAGAGTTCCCATAGAGGTTGTATAGTGGCTAAGGGATAGAGGAAGATATAGATAAATTTAAATTGAAAATTAAATTTAAAAGGCACTGAAATAATTTTAGAATTAGAAGGTATTTAAGTAAATAAGGGAATTCAAATAAAATTTTTTAAATAGAAAATTTGGTATCAAAGCAAAGAGTTTGAAATTAGACAAAATTAGGTCCAATACTGGAATTGGATGTACGGTTTGAGAGATATGGGTTCTTGAAGTTTGAATTTGAAATAAATGAAATAAAATCCCAGTAAAAAAATAAATAAAATAAAAGAGAAATTTTAATGTGGACTTGTCAGGTGTCTCTCCTCCCTCCTTTTCTCTTCTTCCTCCTTGCGAGTTGCGACAAAAGATAGAGAGGAGAGGGAGAAAGAGAAACAGGGAAAGAGGGCGCGGCTCCGGCGGCCTGGCGCTCCCGACAGCGGTGGCTAGGGGTGGCGCAGGAAATGGAACGGCGGCTGGCGTTGGCTGTGGATTGGTCCGGGGTGAGGGCGACGGCCGGCGGCAGCGAGAGGACTTGGGGAGACGGAGAGAAGGAGGAGTTTGAGGTTTGATGGGGACAGAATGGTAGCCTCGCCGGCCTTTATAGGCAATGGAGGCGGTGGAGGGAAGCAAGTCGAAGACGGAACGACGGGACGTCGGATAGGGATGTGAAGAGGCAGCGCCGGATGTCCTCGCCGGATTGGCCGGCGATGGCGGTTCGAAGGGCGGCTGCGACGCGTGGCTTAGGAGGTAGCACGGCGTCGTGTGGCGAAAAGCTGCGGACGGCGGCGGCAGCAGCGGGAATGGCGATGGCGGCGTCGGCCACGGGGGCTTCGTCGTGACGCAAAACTAAGTCCGATTCCGATTCCGTCTGCCCTACACACTTGCGTAGTGCGCGCGACGCACGCACGGATTCGGACTCGGAGAGATTTGCCGATCCTCTGGCCTCTGTACTTATCGGACTCGAACCTATTCCTCGATAAATAGATAGCCACTGCGACTCCCTAACACCTAGAACCAGTCCTCTTCAGCAGCCACACACACGATCGCCACCAACAACAACGCCATCGATCGTCCCCACAAGTTCAAGACAAACTCGTCGTCGATTGTCGCTCTCCAACGACCATGGGTCAAGCCAATTCCGCACTACAGGTGATCAGCGACAACCCGCGCGCCCTGAGGGACAAGCTGCGGGCGGCCAGCGGAAGCTGCCCGCCGGCGAACTACCGCGACGGCGCCGTCGTGCTCGAGAACGCCGTCCTGCTGTCGATTCTCGCGGAGCTCGGCGCGTCGACGCCGACGTGCGTCTACTTCCGGCAGGCCCCTGTTTACACCCAAATTTGGCACCTATGGACGAAATAGGGGAAAATTGCCAAAGTTTGGAAAATACCGGGTTTCCATCACAGGCCGGTCAGACCGCAGGTATATGGGCGGTCAGACCGGCAGGGTCCGAGTCCGAGTCTGATTTTGTCAAGTCTCAGGTTTCCTTACTCGGAAAGGCATGTTTCGTGTTTCCTTTTGTTTCTATCCCGAGTTGGGCATGGAGAAGGGCCTGTAGAGGGTAAGACCAACCCCTATTTAAGGGACAAGGCCGGTTCATTGTAAAACCCCCGAATACAATCTACTTGAATCGTTCTTTTACTATGTTTTCTATTTTACCCTAGTTTTAGTCCATCTTTGTCGGTTTGCACCGTAAACCGTCCGCCGCCGCTGTGAGAGTGCGACACCTCTTTGTAGGTTTGTCCTGGAAACCTTCCGTTTTGCCCACGAGACGGGTAGTTATCCTCATATCGATCTAAATTGGCCTAGAGGCTGATTTTGATCTCTAAATCGGCTCCGCTAGCCGGTTTAGCTGTTTTTCTACAAAACCCATCCTAATTTGGCCCTTTGGCTAGATCGAGGTGGTTGGCGACTCTATATCACCGCAAGGCGTTTAGGTGTTGCGATCATGCTTGTCGACTTGTCAAAAAAGTTGCCAACACGATTTTTGGCGACTCCGCTGGGGAAGAGATCCGTTCATCGTCAACTCAACTTCGACTTCGCCATGACAAAGCCGCCATCCAAGACGGAGGTGGAGCCATCCAATATGATACCGGTCACATTGGATGATTTCGAAGGAGAAGACCGCAAAGCTATGGAGGAGTACATCAA